TTTATATAAATGAAAAATACATACAACGTTAACGGCTTAACAGAGCTAAACTAAAAATTGTTTTGGTTTGTATTCTTTGCCACTTCGCAATCTTTGTTTATACTCTCGAGCCGAAACTTCTCGATACCCAAGACTGTTTCCTTCTGCTTCAGGCAAGTACTAAAGTAATCTAGATGCAGTGACTTTACCAATAATATTCTACGGTCGTCCGGACTTGGAAATATTAAAAACACTAATTTTCACTGCCAATGGCGATGAAATAAAAAAATTTTACTCAACTAGGTTTCAGCATTTAATGGTTGGCTGCAGAGATTGGAGAAGAAGAAGAAGAAGAAGAAGAAGTCCAACAAGCCTTTGGAAGCATTTATTTATATTTAAAACCTTATACGATATTCCCTGAGCATTTATCTATATGTTAGTATTTTGTAAGATCGAGTTAATAAGCTCTCTCTTCCTTCGACCCAATTTTTAACAAACTATTTGCTAAAACAATGCGAACAATATTTCAGACGTCCGTCCTTTTACAAAGTACAATACATGCACGAATATCATATAGAATTGATTTTTTTTTTATTATTCAATTGCATTATTACATTACATTTATAATACTATTTACTGAGGTGTAGTGTAAAGGTATAAATTGTATTTACTGCTCTATACTGTTTACTTTGTGTGGAGTCAATGCGTAAAGACGAATGTCGTAAGCAATTCTTACGCTCTCAACTGTCGTGCATTAAATGAAAAAAATTGAAATTTGTGTTGACATTTAAAAGCATTCGTCGATTCGTCGAGAATCGTTTTGCAATCGAAAATTTTCATTATGCATTTAATACGAGTATGAGTATTGATTACGAAGCGAATACAGTAAAAATTCCTTATTCGCGGTTTCTTTATTCGCGGGTTAAAAAAATGCGATACAATTCCTCTATTCGCGGCTAAAAATTTCTTTATTCGCGGATTCTAATAAGTACATACATAAGAATAAACGGATTCTAATAGGTATCCAATCTAAATTCCGTATTCGCGGTTTCTTTATTCGCGGCACGTATCTCCCGCGGATAAGGTATTTTTACTATATATATAAAAAGTGATTTCGTATTGGAATGAATGAATGCATCTTTTTCTTGTCCCAAATTAATGCTTTCAAGATCTTTACTTGGATATAACTTCATCGATCTTGGTATAATTTAACTGGTCTTCTTCTTCTTATTCTTCTTCTTTTTCTCGCATTCGAAATATTTTATTCTTAAAATTTATTCAATTTATTGCTAGGGATTTATATGTAGACTCAATAAGCGTTTAACGCATACACACATTTACACATTTACATACCTGTTGGATAAATAATTATTGTAGTGGGACGATTTTTGTTCCCAGCCATAATGGTGGCTACAGTTTGTGCCGTCGGAAATGTTGTAGTTGTTGTTGATGTTGTAGTTGTTGTTGTTTTTGTTGTTGTTGTTGTTGTATCGCTGGTGATAATCGTGTTAATGTCAAGTTTGTTAGTTATCATTGAACTCGCATTCAGGTGGCGATGTAAAGTGTTGTTGATTGTCGTTACAGAATCAATATATTCCGTTACATCAACAGCATTAATAACATTATAATGCGAATTACGGCTGTTGTTGGTCGTCGCATTCATTGAAGCGATTGAGAGATCAATGCTTTGTGCAGTGTTTGCGCTTATATCGGTATTAGCTTTTAGTCTATAGTGTGCAGTGTAATCCTTTAATTGTGTTCTCACGTATGTCGTTAAAGTTTCATTGAATTTTCTTTTAAAATGATTGCGAACTTGATGCCGTTTATAAAAAACTTGTTCGCGTTGGCGCTGATACTCTTGCTGTTGCTGTTGCTGTTGCTGCTGCTGCTGCTGCTGCTGCTGCTCACGTTGCTCTTCTGTTTGCTTCTTATTCTTTTCTATAAAATCTTCTAAACGTTCTTTATGATTCTGTTTATAATTGTTTATGACCCGCGATGTTGTTGATGTTGTTGAAGGCAGCATTATTATTGTTATTGTTGTGGGCTTTATACAATTTATTTAACTTTTCTGTAATTGCATAGTCAATCTAACAAAACATTCTAATTGGGCCCACTCTTCTCTCAACCGCCTTTCTTCTTAAATGCATTTCCCTTTCATTATAAATTTTCTTGCTGCCATTTTTTTTTTTTTATAACAATCAATTCTATTTATTGTTATGTTTTTATTCGTTATTCACTAAATCATTTAATCTGCACTTAAAGTATTGTTTTGCTCACCTTTAAGAGAAAGGCATTAAAACCAAAGGAAAAAAAAAAAATGAAAAAACAAGTAAAAAAGTTATATTCAACGGACCCCGAATCTCACATACCCGCCACTATGGCTTTCGCATTCTACTCTCCAAATTCTTTCATATGATACCCATATCGCTGGTATTATTAAGAAAAAAATTAATCGCCACGCCTATCATAGTCATTCTAAAACTAACCCATTATTAAGCAGATAATATATCTTCATTTAATGAGTGTGCAAAATAACTTCCAAACGGTTCTGTCTTGTTCGCCTTATGATAAATAGACATAAAACTTCAAAAAACTGAAAAAAATAAAACTTAATTACTTATAACTTTGCGTGGGCATGGCCAATTGATTCCATTTTTGGATACCGCGATTAATTTTTTCGTAATACTATCAGCGATATGGGTATCAAATGAGAGAACTTGGGGAGTAGAATGCAAAAAACATAGCGGTGGGTGCACAAGATTCGGCCCCCGCCGAATATATATTTTTCTCACTTCTTGTTATTTTTATTAATTTAGTCAAGGAAATCAATAAAAAGACTATAGTGCTTTTAAAGGACTAGTATCGCCAAGACTATCGACTTTGATGAAAATTTTACCGCATTTGAGATTCGAACCCACGACCATTGAGTTGCTAGTCGAAATTTTTGAACTTGCAGTACATACAAAAAAGAATAAAGAATAACCTTAAGTCGATTGCGTGAACTCCTAGTTAAGCGTAAATAACTCTTTGATTAGAAAACATGTCATCAAATTCGGACTTTAATGTCGTTCTTATTAGAGACTTACGAATTTCACATCACTTTATTTATTTATTTTTTAACGCTTTTATTAAACATGGATAGAAAGAATTTGATTATGCGTATAACACTAAAAAGTTGTTTTGTAGTTTAGTCATACTAGTCCTCGACGTAAATGTCAATTATTTGATCCTCTTTACCTCCTCCTAAGGTCACCAAAGGCGTTATTGCATTAAATTAAAGATTAAGTTAAACGTTTCCTATCGAAGCTTAAGCGCTGCAAACTATGCTTACCCGCTACGAATCCCATTCGCATTTTCTGCAACAAGTTGAAAAATTATTTAAAGGATCAGTTGATCAAGGTCAAGGTTATTTAATATGTTAGTATCTACTTAATCGGTTGCTAATCTGCTAAAGATCGACTAAATATATATCATTACACATAGTTGGGTAATAGGCGTACGCCTACTGCCAACCTACGCTGGTCTCTTTATTTGCTTCCTCTTTCTCTTTGTTTTCTTTTTATTTTTCCTTTTTTCTGTTTTTCTCTTACTGATAGTATGAACTTTTTTAAGCCTTTAAAACTTTTCATCTTGATTACTTGTGAATGCCTCAAATTCGAATCAATATTAAGTTGACACTTTGTGTGTATAAATGAACTTATCCTGCGTCTTTTCCTTATATTGTATCAATTGAATTAAAAAAGTTTTTTACTTATTGCAAAAATCATTTATTGCGTTGATCATTTCTTAAGCGGATAATTTTCACCTTTTTAATTCCTTAATTCCTTAATTTAGCATAATTTTGAAATGGAATTAATTTAATTTGATTTGAAATGGAATTTTTTTTCTTAAATTTATTTTTATCATAAGTACGTATAATCTCCGCCTTATCTATACACGAATTGAAAAAAAAGAAATGGCGCGACGCACGCTATACTAACCTATAGTTATTCATGAAACGACTTTTTAAAATAAGGCATTATGGGGGCTGGGAAGTATCGATTGTATCGAAAAAGTGTGCCCTTGTCACAGTATAACAATTTTCATCGAAATGTTCACAAATTAATTCTGAATCGATTAGTATAAGAAAAGATCGCTCTGGTATGACCTATAGGTTAAACATAAATTTATGTTGAGACACATCAGTCGGACAGAGGGACAGAATCCTTTTGT